GGGGGGGGGGGTGGGTAGCAATAGTGCAAAGGCTCTGTGGTAGGAAAGTGTTTGGGATGTTGAAGGAGCAGAAAGAAACCAGTGTACCAAGCAGGGAGGTTAGCAGTAGGGAGAGAGATGGATGGGAGATTGCACCAGTCTTGGATTCTGTTGGAGTTTAGGTTCTGCCCAAGATACACCATAAGGAAACAGTTGTGTATTTTTAAGCGTAAGAGTGATATGCTTTTGATTTACATTTCAAAAAGCTCACTCAAGCTGCTGTTAGAGAATGAGTTATAAAGGGGAAGGAAGGAAACAAGAGTTAGCAGTTACTGTGTAGAAATGATAATGGCTTTAGACTAGGGTGGTAGCTAACAGGGAGCTCTTTTTTTTTTTTTTTTTTTTTTTTTTCGCGGTCCGGACGCACAGGCTCAGCGGCCATGGCTCACAGGCCCAGCCGCTCCGTGGCATGTGGGATCTTCCCGGCCCAGGGCACAAACCCACGTCCCCTGCATCAGCAGGCGGACTCTCAACCACTGCGCCACCAGGGAAGCCCCAGGGAGCTCTTTTGATGCACCAGACATCTTATTAGGCGGTAGGATGCAGAAATTAACAATATAAACCCCTCTCCTTATGGAACTCACAGATTAGCAGAAGGAATCTGAGAAAAAATGTTATAGTATTCAGTTGTGTTGATGAGTGTTGACCAGGCCTGTGCAAGGAAGGGATTAGGAAAGAAGGGTGATCTTGACAAAGGACTTAGCATGTACAAAGCATGAGTGAGCATGACATATTTGTAAAATTTACATATAGGATTTAAGGAATGAAGGTTATGTCTGAAGACGTAGCAAGAGTAAAGGCTAGAAAGTAGATCAAGGCACAAAAGGCATTTGTTTGTTATTCTAATGAATTTAAACTCCTGTCTTGAATACAAAAAGTAGTATCAAGATCAAGTGTACATTTTAGAAAAATCACCATAGCACTTGAACTAGAAGCCAAGAGACCAGTTAGCAAAATATCGAAGTATTCTGGTGAGGAACGATAATGAGTAACAACATTCCAGTCTGTAAGTTACTTACCCAGCTGTGACTGTATGTATTTCTTGTCTTGTTCCCAAACGTCTTTAAAGCGAAAGAAGGAATGGGGGAATCTAAAATGTCACTTGAATCCACTAAAATGTTGAGATTTTTATGGTTCCTGTCCCAGGTTGTGTTCCTCAGGAAGCGAGCCTTGTGATGGAGATCAGTGTGCAAGAGGCCTACTGGGGAGTGTTCTTGGTATCAGGACCTGGGCCGGGGAACGGAGGGAAGTAGGATAGGGCAGAGGGAGAAGTTAGGCTGCCGTGCAGTCTAAGAAAGGCCTGGCCAACTCTCCGTCCCCAGCGAGGAGTTCTTTCTTTCTACAAACATCACTCAGTTCCTACCCTTCACTTGGCAGTATACGAGACCCTCTGAGTGATAGAAACTAAGACAGTTACCTAGGTAGAGTTAAGACAGTAAAAAAATATCAATAAGACAGTTGCCTAGGTAGACAGTAACCTAGGTAGAGAACTATAAAGAAAGCCATGATTAGGAACATTTAAGTGATCTAGCAGGGGACTCTTCGGATAGTCATTTGACAGATGAAGATTTTATATGCCTTCAGTTTTATGTAATAATGGCAGTAGTTACTGAACACTTAGTATGAACTGAGTGCATTATTGCATTCATTATGTCTGTTAAATAATTTAACCCTCACAACAAGTTCCTTAGTGGTAAGTCTTGTTTTCCTCAGTTTTGTAGTATATGAAACTGAGATGCCCAGCATTGGTAACTTGCCCAAGATCTCAGAGCTGCTTGGAATCTGGCCAGGAAACAGTCCATGATAATCCAGTGAAGTCACCCTGTGCTTATTGATGCTGCGTATTCTGAAATAACTTTAGGAAAGTCAGTTTTCCAATTATGCAACATAGAAGAAGGTATTATTTGATAAAAAATGAACTTTTAATAAAGATGACTTCAAGCTGTTTCTGATTATATGCTTTATATAAGCATAAAATTGGATTTAAAATTAGAATATGACTCAATTATAGAAAATTATCATGTTCTCTATAATTGATGTCTGCTCTCTGCCTCTTTTTTTTTTACCTTTTAGAATAAATCTGCACTTTTGTTCATTCTTTCTTGTATTAGTGAACTATACCTGAATGAGTACAGTATAGTAAAAGCAAAATTTTGTTCCACTGTTATGAGAAAACCTATAGAAATAACCTCTAATGTGACTTTTTTCTTTTGGAAGTTTCACCATATAGTCTAGAAGTGAGGGGAAAATAAATAAAATCCCTCGTTAAGTTTATAATAATAAAAAAACATGGCAAGCATAATAAAAAGAATTATTTCTCATTTATGGTTTTTCTCATTGGTGAGTTCATCAGCCTAATGCACAGCTTTATTAACTTGTCTTTGGGGTCTCTAACAATGTACTATGTATTTCAAGTTTCATAAATATCTCTGCCCCCAGGCAGGAAGTTAAAGTGAATCTATACTGTGCCAAGATTAATGTTTTATCTTTTTCCTGGGTGTATTTTATGTGCTTGCCTTGTAGGCCTGTAATTTATTCCCATAACTTTATTGTATATTGTAGCGACTGATTAAAAACAACCCTTCAGAGATATATGCTTAAAAAGCATATGATTTTTAATAGCATAGTTTACAATAATGTATTTATGTGTATCATCATTTATTCAAAAATTTTTGAGTATCTGCTACTGTTGTTCTAAGTGTCTTCATGGAGTTCACATTCCAGTGGAGAGAGAAAGATGATAAATAAAAAACTAAAACATACAGTGTATCAGCAGTAATTGGGGTGGTGGTGAGGGGAGACAGTGGTGGAGTTCCAGAAGGAGAAGAGAGGGCTCTGGGATGGGTCAGGGTGGGAAGCACTTTAAAATAGAGCAGTCAAGGAAGGCTTCATTGATGAGAAATTAAGCCAAGTTTGAAGGATGTGACAAGTGAGCTGTGCATTTGTCCTAGCTTTAAAATGGTTGCACATTTATATCCTACCAGCAATGTGGGTGGGTTCCTTTTATAAATTTTCTGTGTCATCACTTATATGCTAATGTAGTTTCAGTGAATCACGTGTCAAAGGGCTTTGTAGCATGCAGTCTATATGCCAAACAAATGTATGCTGTTTTTCTGTCTAATTGACCTTTTTCTGACATGTGGGCCAATTTCTGATTTGCTTAGGATAGGGAAGCGTGTTGAAAGTAAAGCAGTAGATATACTCTGCTATTTAATATTTTCTTTTAAAACCTTACAAAGAACTACCTAAACAATACATGAATTCTTCATTCATATATGAAAATCTTTTGATTTTTTTGTCAAAATAAGTTTCAAGAAAATTTATTCTGTTTCATGAGAACATTTAAAATTCTAATCACATGGTCAATTATCTCTTAGATGAGAAAGAAGAGGGTATTCTGGGAAGCATACTGTTGCCTAGTTTTCAGATAGCTATGCTTACCTCCGAGGATCACATCAATCGCAAATATGCTTTTAAGGTAAGGAAATAATCATACTTTTTTATTCTGTATTTGAATCTTGCACTGATTAAAAAGTAGATATTGGCCATGGATTATTACAAAAGGATATTTTAGTAACAGTTATTTTTATATTTAAAACATAATAGTGGTCTTAGGGTCGAGGAGAAGTGTCCCTTTAATTAGGCAGCAAATGTGCTCAAATATTTAGGGGCCAGGGGTCTTTTATGTCTCTACTTTCAAATGGTTCTAGTTAAACCAAATATGTTAAAATGCTAGTAATTGATGGATATAGCTGTAGGTGTCCTGGTGATCGTTGTACTATTCCTGAAAGGTTACGGTATGTTTGAATTTTTTCATAGTAAATTTGAGGGTGGTGTGTTATTTAACATAATACATGTGCATTCATGATTTTATAGGATATTTGCAAAGATATTCTTGGGTCTAAGTACTTCATGAACATCAGATAGTTTAGAGAGAATATTGCAGTTGAAACATTAAATCTATTACTAAATCTAAGCAGACCTGAGCCTCCCTCCCCTAAGTAACAATACCCACCCATCTCTGTGATGTGCTGGCTTGTAGAGCACCCTCAAGTAAGAGGCCACTTGAATGCTAAGTTGGTTATTTTTGTTTTCAAAGATCATACTGCATTCTTTGCTTTATGATTATGGCTGAAATAAATTTCAGAAGTCACCTATTTTTTTTTTAAATCAGTGTTAAATTAAGAACTCTGAAGAGTTTAAATTTTTCATTTTAAGGAAAAGAGGAAATACAAGGGTAACATATGCTGTTATTTAACAGTGAAAATGTTTGCACCGTTATAAAATTGATTCAATTTTTAATTCCCGTCCACTTTTAAAGAATACTCAGGACTGCAGCTGATTTACAACTTTTGCCAATTAATGTGTTACATTATTAGCTATGGAGAAAAGAGAGGGAAAGGCAGAGTGGTGGGAGGGTGATGGGTGACCTCAAAGAGAATGTAACATCTGAGCAAAGACCAGTGGCTACAAGGGCAGTCGCTACCCATTTCAATAAATGTTATTAACAGTATGAACCAGAGAAATGGAATTAAGTATTTTAAGATGCTGTAGCAAACTCTAATACCGATAACTTAAAGTAATAACTTTTTAAAAGTACATTGCCCAACTCTGTGATACTAATGCTGTTATTTGGGCACAGGTTTAAATTGTTTTGTTTGCTCATCAACTTGTCAAATGTTTATTGAATTTGTACTAGTCATAGGACATTTTGCTGGGTTCTTAAACTCTAAAACAACATAGATTTTTTAAAATATGTAAATAAATAGAATGTTAAAATAGCAGTAAAAGTGACCATGCGTGTTAAGTATATTGTCTCTGTAATTATTTGGTTTAATTTTGATTGTATTTTATCTATAACAAGGATAATGATTTCTATTTCAAATTCTCTTCTCTGCCATGTTGTTTTCTCTGAATTTATGAGCCACTTTTACTACTAAGTCCGTTGGCACTGATGCTGCTGCTTTCACAGTGGTAAGTAGAAACTATAGACAATTGTTGAACAGAACTGTGGAACTGAAAGCTAAATTGGGAACTTTGCCATCATCTTGTAAATATTCCCATTTGGCGGATCACAAGCTTGGGTGTGGTATGTTAATGCCTTCAGTCCTGGCTACACCTGGGTCTTCTGAGCACCAGCCCAGTGTTCCTTCTGTTGATCACAGATAGGGGCAGTGGTCTTCATCCATTTCTCCAAAACCCCACTCAACCAGTCCAGTGACTCTTGGTGGTGGTTTTAATCATTTTAACAAGTGGTGGCATTTGAGCTGTTTCTTTCGTGTGGTTTCCGTAGATAGTGTTACATCCCTTACGTGGTCAAGTGAGATTTGTTGGTTCTGTAAGTTAATTTGCTCACTGTGTTGATTGAATTTATTTATATCCTGATTCTGAAAAAGATTCTGAAGCAGCTAATTTGACATTGTAGGTAAAGCAGATAGTCAAGATCTCTGAGTGAAGTGTGTGACTCCAGATTTACTCCTCTTGTCTCTTTAGACTAACTCTGTGCTTAGTGCCCTTCCTTCTGCCTCATTCTATGCTGAAATAGCTTTTGTTTCTTTTTCCTTGTCCTTCAGTGTCTACCAGGGAGCTGTCACAGGCATTCTTAAATGGAAATTAAGAATGGTTCCCCCCACAGAATTCCCCGCCCTGGCCTTTGTTTTCTTTCTTTTTTTTTCCCCCTTCTTTTTTAAAGAAATTTTATTGAAGTCTAGTCGATTTAACCATGTTGTGTTAATCTGGCTTTGTTTTCTGCTCTGATGTAGCTACTGCTGCTGTCCATCTTTGGCTGCAGGCCCAGGGCTAAGCTGAGCACTCAGTGCTTGAACTTGGGTAGCTATCCCTCAGCAGCGCCTTCTTTGTGTTGTTTTCTGTGTCTCTGGATAGAGGCAGATTGCCACCATAAAGAAAGAAACCTACTTACCAGTTATATAGGCCTCAAACCCAGTGTATTTACATTTTAACTCTGAAACTTGAGAAGAAAAGCTAAAGGGCAGTGCCATTTTGGGTCATTTATAAATCTTTTATGTTTGTGTATAGATGTCTGTAAGGATTAGTCAAAATGCGTTAAACAGCAGCACCTTTTAAGGGCTAAAGGAATTGGTAACACAGGAGGGAAATGCTATGACATGTACATTTCAATGACTTGTGTTGCTGGTTGCTCTGGAACATTCTTGAATAGAAAGATGTGAATTGTAGTAAATGGAAATTGCTAGGGATGTGTGCATGGAACAGGGACGGCCAGGTGCTTCCTTTCTTACCTCCTTCCGCTCCTATACATCTTGGGTTTTTTTTAAGAAAAAAGAAAAATGGTATAGTTAGGAGAAAAACTGTAATATGTATATATTTTTCAATATTGAATTGTATTTTTCTTAAGTCCCTCATTTCTATATTGGTATGTAAGGCAAGTCTGCTTTCTTTGAAATTGGATAGTAATGATCTGTGTAGAGAGCCACTGAACTTTCTTTCTTTTTCTTTTACAGATACCATATTTCTATTTAAAATGATCGTGCCATTTTCAATCAGGCAGCCCACCCAAACATGCGGACCTATTATTTCTGCACTGACACAGGAAAGGAAATGGAGTTGTGGATGAAAGCCATGTTAGATGCTGCCCTGGTACAGACGGAACCTGTGAAAAGGTAAAGGCTTGTAGGGGAAATAATGATGATTCCACTTACATTTTATTCCATGCCTTGCAAGTATGTCATTATCATAGTACATATCATTTTAGTAGTCATGATATGAAACCATTTCTTCCTCAGAAAGCAAGGATTAATTCATGTTTTATTTTAACTAATACACCTTTAGTTAGTTTGAAATACCACCTGCATTTTTATTCCACCTTCCCTCTTTATTCATTTTCACCTATCAGTGTACTGAGGTGAATCCAGAATCCTAACATTCCAACTGAATGTTCTTTCTTCTTACAGAATTACATTTAATTTTCGGTAAGTACATTTTCAATTGCTATCTTAAAAGTACACAAGACAGTGTTTTTTAAGGTTCTGAATCTTAGAAGGGAATTTATATTCATGAAGTTAATTTCATTGTGTTTTTATATTCTGTTGTATGTTTTTCCAAGTTTAATAAATTAAAATAAAATTTTTTGATGAGTTTCATTTCTTTGGCATTTCTGGGTTAATTCTGATTGTTTTATGATGAATGTCTCCAGAAAATAGTTCATCAAGCATTTAGATTCTTTCTAAATATATCTACTTCTTGATGAATTCTACCTTCTTTATTTTAAAACTCCAGGGCTTAGATTCTTCGGTAATATAAATATGTACTGTTAAAATTGATCTAAGTGTGATTTTTTTCCCCTGCTTTAACATATGAATCATTTTAATATTTGACTATATTAAGAACTAGTGAGAGGAAATCTGTTTCTAAAATATGTAAATAGCTGAATAATGGGCTTACAACATTTTTGTTATATATTCCTATAATTTGAAGAAAGATCTATGATACAGTTAAATTTTTCTTCCAGTCAGCAACAATTGAGCGCATATCTCATATAAGGAAGATCACTAACTTGCAAATTTGATCTTTCTTCTCAGGAAATTATATGATTGTTACATTGTAAATCTTTTTTTTTTTTTTTTTTAAGTGTACCTGTTAAAGTCTTTTGACTGTGTTGGTTAAAAGACTCAAGTTGATGCTATATAAGTAAATTTGTGTTTATTTTTTAAAGTATCTATTCCAAGTTAACTAATCACTAGTAATTAGAGCTAGGGAAAAGTATGGAGAAAAAAAGGAAAGAAGGTCCAGGGTTGAACTCTGGGACACCTATTTTTAAGAGTAATCACCTCGGGGCTTCCCTGGTGGCGCAGTGGTTGAGAACCCGCCTGCCAATGCAAGGGACATGGGTTCGAGCCCTGGTCTGGGAAGATCCCACATGCCACGGAGCAACTAAACCCGTGCACCATAACTACTGAAGTCCGTGAGCCACAACTACTAAAGTCCACGCTCCTAGAGCCCGTGCTCCGCAACAAGAGAAGCCACTGCAGTGAGAAGCCCACACGCTGCAGCGAAGAGTAACCCCCGCTCGGCACAACTACTGAGCCTGTGCTTTAGAGCCCGTGCACCGCAACTACTGAAGCCCATGAGCCACAACTACTGAGCCCACAAGCCACAACTACTGAAGCCCACGTGCCTAGAGCCCATGCTCCGCAACAAGAGAAGCCACTACAATGAGAAGCCGGCGCACTGCAACAAAGAGTAGCCCCCGCTCGCTGCAACTAGAGAAAGCCTGTGCTCAACAACGAAGACCCAATGCAGCCAAAGATAAATAAATTAATTAATTAAAAAAAAAAAAGAGTAACCACCTCAACCGTATACATTTTCTGGGTTGAGAGCTAATAGGAAAATCTGCTTTCGGAATTCCATGTGTAAAAATGACCTGAATGGAGGTAAAATTGAGGTGATTATGATTGACAGCTAGAGAAAATTTGTAGGTGAAAAAATTCATTGAAAATCTTAAGATAATATTAACTTAAGAGTAGAATTTTCAGGGAATTGTTTAGAATACAGAAATCAATATAATAATTAAGATATATGATTGCCAGGTAATTTCAGTATTGTGTGTTCACTTATCCCAGAATTTCAACTACCATTTTCTTTTCTTGTATTTTCCACTCTAAAAACTAATAATTACTCATAATTTATGGTGATAAAGATGATATTCAATATTTTGTTTTGACTGTGACAACTATTCGTTGATTATGTGCCCACAGCAATTTTTAGCCAGTTGTGTTGATATAATTTGCCCTATTAGCCTGGAATTGTTGAATAAGACCTAATGGCCCAACCTGGTGACAGTCGCCATTATCCTCTAGAAATTATGTCCTTTATTCTACTTCTAGCTCTTCGCATTTTTATTCTGCCCTGGTAGTCTTAATCATTCAATATGAAGGTACCTAATTACTATGCTATTTCATTTCATAAGATGGGGAGATTTTGTTTACTTGCTTTTAAGGTATTGGGCTCTTTTTCCCGTATGGCCAGAATACTTACAAATGTTTATCACGGCATATCACCTAAGAGATAGAACATCCAGTTTTTAACTAGATAGTTCATTTCTTCTAAATTTATAAAGTATTTAACCTATGAACTACAATGTCATTGTCCCCGAGTGTGCAGAACCTTGATGGCATTAAAAAATCTAAGCATAATATACATTCTCTGAATAATTTCCAGCTCTGGGCCCATTATTTTCATTTTCTATATTTACATGTATTTTCTGCAGTAACTTAAATGTCACTTTTTAAAATTGGATCACAAGTTTTACATTATTTATGTTATCTTAGCATACATTTCTGAATCAGTTTTGGTTCCACTTAGAGAAAAGTCAGCATGTGTCTTTTTTGATTGCATCTCTTAAATCTTTGAGAAAAAAATTGAGGAAAAAGTCATTGCAGTTCTAATTTAAAATAATAGCTTTTGGTAGACTAGAGGTAACTAATTTTAAAAAGCCTTTTCAGATATTTGATATTCAATGTTAAAAAATCCTCCTCACCCCTGAATTTAGCACGGATAAATGTGCTTTTAGTATAGATCTTCTCTGACTTTTATCTTTGAAGGGAAAGAAGCTTTATAGCATATCTTAGTAAACTTTAACAGTGTCTGATATTCCTTCCAATCTGGAAGCTATGAGTTTTATCTAACATAAATATATGGTTAGTCCATAACTGTACTCCAAAGGAAATAGTCACATTTCCTTTTATTTTTTCTCACTGATTGTATTCCTAACTAGCTATCTCTGTATAGCTGTATAGGATATGTATAGATTATGTATTTTCTACACATCACTGAAACTGGCAGCAATAGCACACTTAGGATCCAATAGGAGCATTATTATGTATTGAAATGTGCAAGGTTGGCCAGTTCCCGAGAGGGGCCTCCCTGGTGTGGTATGATCTTGGCCATTTTGTGCAGGTTCAGACACTCAGCTTGGTCTTGTCAGATCCTGGAAGTGATTGGTCTCAGGAAAGCTGATTCTCATCAACAAGACCCAGATATAGCAGCTGGCATGGTGAGCAGTAAAACTGCCCACTGGCCCAGGCACATACTGCTGAGCAGCCCATTCTTCCTGCGGTGATGTGGGCACGAGATGCCAGATTCTAATCCACAATTGCTTGATGAGATGGAATGGTAGTGGTAATAAAGTCTGTGGCAGCCACTGATTTACTCATCTCGTCCTCACAACAATCTTGTCTCCTTGGTGCTACAATTTTCCCCATTCACCACAGAGAAGATTGGGGCTTGGTCAGTTTCTGCACCTTGCCCAAAACGCAGCTACTAAGAGGTAGAGCTGTCAGCTGAGCACATGCAGTCTGGCTCCAAGAGCTCTTACCTGAAACTCAGGTCCTCTTGAACACAGACACAGAGAGTTAATCAGTCATAGGGTTCAGATCTTTGATAGCATCAGATTGTAATTTCCATTGCCACAAACCAGAGTCATGTTTGTTTCCTGGTGAGTTAACCCTCCTGGCTGGAAACCATGTTATTTCAAATGACTAGTTACTGTGGTCTGTTAAGTGTGGATTTTTGTGGTTTCGCTGTCAAAGGGCAATCTTATTTGCTTTCTTTCCAGATTTCTAATGGTGGGGACACTCATCACTTTTTTTCCTCTAGTGCTTTATACGCTGTATATTTTAGGTTTAATTTTGTTCCCCTTTCTATTTATACATTCTGGTGTCGTACTTGAATTCTCATACTACAATACTGGGGATTTGTGCAGACTTCTCTGTGACCATTTCGGGGTTTTTGTTTTTGTTTTTTGTGAAGTCGAAGGTAATTTTATGTTTTTCCTAGATTTAATCCCAGAAATAACATGTGCATTACTTCATCTGATTTACTCTGGCTTTCTTCTCTGATTTCAGAGTGGATAAGATTACATCTGAGAATGCACCAACTAAAGAAATCAATAACTTTCCCAACCATAGAGTGCTAATTAAACCAGAGGTCCAAAATAACCAGAAAAACAAGGAAATGAGCAAAAATGAAGAAAAAAAGGCATTAGAAGCTGAAAGATATGGATTTCAGAAGGATGGCCAAGATAGACCTTTAACAAAAATTAATAGTGTAAAATTGAATTCTCTGTCGTCTGAATATGAGAGCGGGTCAACATGCCCGGGTCAGACTGGACACTACAGGCCAGTCAATGTGAATAGTTCAGAGAACAAAACGGTCAATGTTGGCCTGGCAGACCTTAGAGGTGGAAGTCACCCAAATACAGGGCCCTTACACACAGAGGCTGATCGAGTCATACAGAGAACGAATTCAATGCAACAGCTGGAACAGTGGATTAAAATCCAGAAGGGGAGAGGTCATGAAGAAGAAACCAGGGGGTAAGTGTCTTGTTATGTGTTGTGAACCCAGGTTTCTTTCCTGTTATGTTGGTGGGAGACTGATTTCTGAGATACCAATTCAAAGTATTAAGTTCAAATTGCGTTTGAGATATTACAGCTTCATTACTCATCTTTTTTTGATGGTAATCAGATATCAGTGTTTTTTCTCTGCCTCTCAGTGTTCTGTCACCCAACTTTACTAATAGCAAGGAGTCATCCTCCCTGGCCCAGCACAAGAGAAGGCATAGGCTGTGGGTACAGATCATGTTTGTTTGGGATGAGGAAAGTCGCAAGACCTAGCCTTACCCCTCTACATGCACACGTGCGTGCATGCGTACACACACACACACACACACACACACACACACACACACACAGAGTGAGAACTTGTCTTCACTCTCCCCACTGCCCTGCTGTTTTCCACTAGTAGCTTCTGCAGCTTGATGTAATACAAAGCTCTCCTGAGACATGTAACCTGGAGACCAGAAAGACTTAGGCTCTCTAGTTCTCAGTCTCATTCCTTGACTTTCTTAAACTTATAATGCACATGGCTAAGTATTATATTTATTCATCTAAGCGTTTATTCATTCATGTACACATTTGTTCTTTCATATACTTATTAGTATGACTACTCTATGGTAATCATGGGGCCAGAAAGTGAAATACTGAAAAGATATAGTCCAGATTTCTCACAAAGGTTCTTAGTCCAGTAGAGGAGAAAGTTAAACAAACAGGTACAGTATATAGTGACAAATACAGTGATGGAAGAACAGGATGCTGTAGGAAGATGTTTCAGGGACAACCAACACAGCCTAAGGGTTTAGGAAAACCTCTTTGGAGGAAGTGAAATATGGGGCAAGATATGAAGGATGGTATGCTTATCTTGGTTTACATATGCAAAACTGATAGAGCTGGGAAAGGACTCTGAAGACGTGAGTCTGGCTTAGGCACAACTGCTGTGATGATGGATGGGAAGCGAGGCTGGAGAGAGAAGCCAGAGGAGATGTATGCAGATTGGTGTTTCAGCAGTATCATCCCTGCTGCAGAATCTGGAGAATGAATTGGAGAAAGTTCAGAAACTATTGGAATGAGTGAAATGAGGAGAGGAAGGGGATGTATTCACGATATAGTTGACAAGGCTAGTTGGGTGCTTGGATGTGCTTGATTGCAAACTGGTCTCACTCAAGTCTAATTTGAGCAGCTGGGGGAAATCAAGAATGACGCCCTGCTTTTTGGTCTGGTCATCAAGCTTTGTCCGGTGCCTTTCACTGCATAGAGAAGGTTTGGGAAGAGAGAAGGTAATGAGTGATTGGACAGGTTAGATCTGAAGTGTCTGCAGTCTGTATCTCCAGAGAGAGATCTGGATTTGAATAAGGTTTGGGGTGTCATCATTATATCAGATATACTTAAAGGTAAGGATGAAAATCAGAAAGAACATTTACATTTAAAGGGGAAAAAAAGGATGGTGGGCCTGCAAAGGAGACCAAAAATAAGGGCTAGAGGAAACGGAGGAAAAGCAGGTGATTGTGGATGAGAGAAAGTGTTGTGTTGTGTTGTTAGGTGGGAAGCTGGTGATGCAAGATTTATAACGTACTTTAATGAACTAACATAGTAAAATTAACTGAAGACTTACTGTAACTCTTACCTCTCGATAGTAGGAAACCAGAAAGCAACGAGTTACTAATGTTTTGGTTAAAAGGAGATGAACTTTCGTAATAGTGGAATGTCCTTCCGGTCTGGGTGGCTGTCTGCCAGTCTCTTGTCTCAGGAGTGCAGCTCAGCCAGGCAGGGCCGCAAACCCCGACTCCCGTGATTCAGTTGCTCACTTCCGTTTTCTTCTCCTTCACCCTCAGTGCCACTTTTCTAATTTTCTCAAGGGACAAATTGTGAGAAACAGTTGCTGTTTCAAAAATAAAATTTGATTAGAAGAAAAGCCAGAGGTAGTTCTGGGCGGTGGGGGGGGAAGAAAGGATGTTTGAAAGTACTTATAAAGGTAATTGTTTTCAGGGAAACAATAATAAAAATCCCGGCCAGAAGATTTGCTGCATCTCTACCCAGCAAATTAAATGTCACTTCTCAATAGAAGCTCTTTTCCTCAAATAAAATCATACTTTCTTAAGGTTGAATGGGTATAGTTAAAGGGGTTCAGTATCTGGAAGTTAATTTTTTTTAATTGTTGAGCATAAGTATTAGTTTTCAAGCACTTGTTAAAGCCCTTGGTTGGGTATAATTAACACACATAAAGCCTCTTTATTTTGACTGCAGACCTTCAGTAGCTTCTGAAGGCTAGTCTTAGGTTATTTTGAGCTAAAGTTTTCTCCACGTTGCTCCTCCAGCTTCAGCTTCACTGACTGGAGTCCAGTTTGGATCACTGAAATAGATCATCTACATTGTCATATGAACTTCATGCTTAAAAAACAGTTGCGAGGTTTTATAATGAAATAATTTTTATTGGTGGGAAGAAGCATGATAGTAATACATGGTATAATTCGTTTTGTGAAACTTTATGAAAGGCTGGCTTTTATTCCTAAAGTTCTGATAGAAAGAATAGAGGTTTAATATGTAGTCATATAGTAGATGCCTGCATCTGTGAGCAGAGCCTGTAAGTTTCTTTGTGAGTAGCGGGCACCGTTCAGATGCTGGGAGCCTAAGCCATTGTTCCGCGTGGCAGAATCACAGGTCAGGGTTTTCATGGTGTTTGACAGGCAACTGCTGATGAATGGAGCACTAAACCTGATGAAGGCACTTACAAAGTTCGTTTCTTAAGCTTTCACTTAAAAGTAAATCACACTTTGCTTAATTTGAATTTCTTTGGGGAAAACCACTGAAGGAGAATGTAGTTTTTTTAAAAAGAGGTCTCAAAATGGTAGAAAGTATATGGGATCAAAGTAAATATACTTGATGACAACCAGATTTTCCATTAAAATTCTCCAAAAGGAGTTCGAACGATGGCAGAAGAGCCTTTTATACTTTGTGATCCCTAATTAGCCAAACTTGGTAGGAAAATAGCCTGTTGTTAATGATTACATGATAAGTGTTCAACTTCAATATCCATCTCTGCCACAGGTTCCAGCTCACGTGTTATGAATGCTTGGGTTTTGTGTGATCAGATTTTCTGAACTGGAATTTAAACATTAGTCCACAGGCAGTTTTTCATGTATTTTAGATGGGAAATGTGTGTCCCCTCTTTATGTGAATTATATATGATCTTTTTACAGATTTCCAAATAGGGTATAAAGTTAATATTATTTATGTTCTCAGTATATGCTTCTATGATGTAGTTCTGTGCCTAATCCAGAGCTTCTTGCACAGCAAGGTCTCTATAATATTTCTTGAGTTTATGAATGGCCAAATAAACCAACGTATATTGGAGTATGTTGCTTGAGTGCTAGGGCAGAATTTCTTGGATGGAATCATCTTCACCCTGTCTGACACGCTTCCTAAGCACATAGCTGTGGGGTTGCCAGCTCTGGACTTTTTCCAGTTTCTGGCTTAACAGAGAAGGTAGGAATAGGAAGGGAGACCAAGCAGGGGAAAATTAGGAAATGTACATGAAGAGAAAGCAGCAAAAAATTAAACTCCTTCTACTGCTTATATCAGAGTATTATTGGGTACTTTTCTCCCTCACTTCAGCCCAAAAGTCATCAGATGGTTGGCCCCTGTGTAGTGGTTCTTGGGGTGGAGGTATGGGAGGGAGGGTGACGGGGATAAATTTTGAGCAAGCCTGTTTTAAATCAGGACATTGAAAAGCTGAGGGATGATCAGCATGATGAAGGAAATTCAGTTCAGGGGAATGGTTGAAGAAATTGGAAATATTTCAAGTCCAATATAAGACATGGGATTTTAGAGTTGTAAGACCACTCTGTGATCAAATCATCTTCTAGATGAGAAAGCCGGATCCCAAAAAGTTTCAGTTGGCCAGATATCAGTAGCATGTGAAGGACTCTAGCACTTTAAGATTATGCCCTTCCTTATTTAGGGGCATCTTTTTATCTTTAAGTATATCATTGCAATAGAATAGTAAAGTTTTTTAAAAAATAATTTTCATACTTTTGGCACAAATTTTAAAATAGAAAGTTAATAACCCCAAGTATTAAAAGGAGTATGATCTCTTGGCCACACACACACTTGAACATTCTCTCAGTCCCAGAGGTGTAACTTTTCTAAGGTCTCTGCACTTAGTGGGAAAGCAAGAATGAAAGCTTGGCCCTCCTGGTTTTTGATCAACTGCTTTTTCCCACTTGACTAATAATGAAGTTCACTAATATTAAAACATTGTAAAATTCCAGAGATTTGCAGTTTTGTATATGAAATATTATATTGGAAGTATTTTGTCTTTAAATAATTAAATTTTGAGCTTTGGCTTCAAGTCATTTTTATTTCTCAAATTAAGAAAAGTTATCAAGGGAAATTATTCCTTCAAGCCACAAATGTACTGATTGATGTACTTCTTCCCGTAAACAGTCATGCTCTCAGAAGGCCATGGTACAATAGAGCATCACCACCTGCAGTCCTTCATTTCCTGTCTTCACACTCTTAGGCACAACTCAAAAACTCTAGTGTTCCATCCACACGCAGAAACCCTATTTAACTATTCTGGTGAGATGTGTGAAGATGAGATTCTAGGAGTTTATTTATATAAAATCAAATAAGATATGAGGACAGACTTGAGATGAGATCTTGAACATTCTTATTTCTGAAAAAAGTTTAATACTCTTCTTTCTTGCAATAAAACTTGTACCTTGTGTGGAACTAATAGTCTTATGTGAGTGACATAGATGCTGTTCACTTAATATATTAAATCCATTGAATTGAATTTCATAAAAAGATTAAAATCTGTTCATTATTCACTTGTACCCTGTATAATATTCTGGTCTTAAAAAAAAATAAGTCCTAAGTATATATTTTACCTACCAAGAGGAAAAAAGAATTTTGCTCTAATTTAGAATCTGGGAAACAACTCTCCTTCATTTTTACGTTCCAATTGTTCTTTTATTTCAGAGTAATCTCTTACCAAACATTACCAAGAAATATGCCAAGCCACAGAGCCCATATCGTGGCCCGCTACCCTGAAGGCTATAGAACACTCCCAAGAAACAGCAAGACCCGGCCGGAAAGTATCTGCAGCGTAACTCCTTCCATTCACGACAAGACAGCTGGGCCTGCGGCCGAAGAGAAGCGGAGATCCATGAGAGACGACACCATGTGGCAGCTTTATGAGTGGCAGCAGCGTCAGTTTTATAACAAGCAGGGCACCCTCCCTCGCCATGGCACCCTGACCAGTCCTAAAACCATGGTTAATATTTCTGACCAGACAATGCACTCCATCCCCACATCACCTTCCCACGGCTCCATAGCTGCTTATCAGGGCTACTCCCCTCAGCGAACCTACAGATCAGAAGTGTCTTCACCAATTCAGAGGGGAGATGTGACGATAGACCGCAGGCACCGGGCCCATCACCCCAAGGTAAGACGTCTGCTCATCCAGGGTTCACTGCTCCTCCAGGGATGCTGCGTTTTACTTCTAGTACATGTCTCTCTCTCTCTCTGAATGGGAGAGACAAAAATATGGGGAGAAGGTAGGCAAGGCCAGCTCTTTTTTTGTTTTAAAAATTAAGGAAGAGTATTCTGCAGTGTCAGAGTCTCATGCAGAAAACCTAAGCTTGCAGTGCTTCATCTCTCAGGAGCAGCTCTTTGGAACAGATGCATTATGTATTCTTCCCTGCTTGATAGCATGTCTCATCAGCTTTCTCTGTAGGTTAAGACCACACATATTTTGATTGGCCCTTCATACACTCAAATTCTACGCCCACCCTCTTCTAGCATCCCTTCAGTCTTGTGTCAGGCCCTTCATGTTCTTTGCTAAGATAAAAGTGCTAACCTCAGGACTTCCCTGGTGGCGCAGTGGTTAAGAATCCACCTGCCAGTGAAGGCGACCCAGGTTCTAGCACTGGTCGAGGAAGATCCCACGTGCTGCAGAGCAACTAAGCCCGTGCGCCACAGCTACTGAGCCTGCG